CGAACCTCTAAGCATAATCTTTGAAAAATCTTTCAGGACCAGCTCCTTGCCAAAACTATGGTCACAAGCCATAGTCATCCCCATCTTCAAAAAGGGAGACCCCAGCCTAGTTGAAAACTACAGACCAATCTCCTTATGCTGCATCACCTGTAAAGTCATGGAATCAATTATTAACCAATCCATTATCCTCCACTTAGAGACAAACAACCTACTCTCTAATAAACAATTTGGTTTCAGGAAAAAACTATCCTGCAATCTGCAACTCTTACACTGCAAAAACATATGGCCTACACAACTCGATCAGGGCAAAGCAATAGACACAATCTACGTAGATTTCTGTAAAGCCTTTGATTCTGTAGTACATGACAAACTACTCCTAAAACTAAAATCTTATGATATCTCTGGACACCTACATAACTGGATAGAAGCATTCCTGTCAAACAGACAACAAAATGGTCAAAATTGGGAGCATCCTATCAAATTCTGTACCTGTCAACAGTGGTGCCCCCCAAGGCAGTGTTCTAGGACCAACTCTCTTCATACTATACATAAATGACTTCTGTGATCATATTAAGAGCAACTGTGTTCTCTTCACTGACGATGTAAAGCTATTCAACACCACAGACAATACTGCTACCCTTCAAAAAGACTTTGACTATGTATCAGAATGGTCAAACAAATGGCAACTTCAAATCTCAACAAATAAATGTTCTGTCTTACATATTGGCAAAAAAAATCAGAAAATAAAATTCAGGCTGAATAGTCAAGACCTTGTTGATGATCCAAACTCTGTCAAGGATCTTGGAGTACTCATCTCTAATGATCTAAGTGCTAGTGCCCACTCTAACTACATAGCCAAAAAGGCATTAAAAGTTGTTAACCTAATCTTACATAGCTTTTTCTCTGGTAATATTGCACTAATAATTAGAGCATACAAAACATTTGCTAGACCAATACTCAAATTCAGCTCATCAGTCTGGAACCCACATTACGTATCTGATATTAACACAGTTGAGAAAGTCCAGAAATATTTCACAAGAGTTCTCCACTCCTCTACTCGTTGTAGAATACCTTATGCCACCAGACTTGAAATTCTAGACCCAGAAAACTTAGAACTACGCTGCCTTCGGTCCAATCTCAGTATGGTATATAAAATCATACATTGCAATGTCCTATCTGTCAATGAATACTTCAGCTTCAACCATAACAATACAAGAGCAAACAACAGATACAAACTCAAGGTTAATCGCACCAAATTTGATTGCAGGAAATATGACTTCAGCAACAGAGTGGTCAATGTCTGGAATACTCTACCTGACTCTGTGGTTTCTTCCCCAAACCCCAAAAACTTTAACCTTAGACTGTCTACTATTGACCTCACGCCTTTCCTAAGAGGTCTGTAGTGGGCGGGCATAAGCGCACTAACGTGCCTACCGTCCCTGTCCTATTGTTTCTTTTATTTTTCTTATATGTACCCATTTCATGTATTCATAACTATGTATATACTTATACCTATTATCTTGTAAGCAATTGACAAACCAAATAAAATAAATAAAAATAATAAAATAAAATAAAAAATACCTACCTCAGAGTTCTGTTTGTTATGGGTGTATTACTTGCAACCCTGATACTTACATTAACTTCAAAGTTAACATCAGACAATCAAGTAAACAACACCTCGATCCAGAAACTGGCAAAGAGCCATCAGTAAAGAGTAAACAGCCCAATCAAAGAATCCCTAAGACCCCCCCCACAAACTCTGATGATGTTAGCTAGTTTGGGTAATGAAACGTCCGCAAGAAAACAAGCAAGGTACTAGAATTGTATTTGCACAAAATTGGAAAAGTGACAAGATCCCTACAGATGAGAACGTGATTAGGAAAATATTAGAATGTGCAGAAATGAATAGACTGACGCTTCCTGCAAAAGAGAAAGAACAAATTGAATATTATATGACATGGGTGCTATTTTATGGATGGTTGGAGAATAAAAACAGAAGTGAGAAATAAATGGAGATTAGTAAAATAAAGAATAGATGTTACAATAGAGATGTAAACAATACGATTACTAATAGCAATAGCACTTAGACTTATATACTGCTTTATAGTCCTCTCTAAGCCATTTATAGAGTCAGCATATGGTCCCCCAACAATCTGGGTCCTTATTTTTCCCACCTCGGAAGGATAGAAGGCTGAGTCAACCTTGAGCCTGGTGGGATTCGATCTGCCAAATTGCAGGCAGCTGGCAGTCAGCAGAAGTAGCTTGCAGTACTGCACTGTAGCCCCTGCGCCACCGAGGGTCTAATATGATTGTTAAGATTATTACACCTGATATAATATAACATTTTCATTGGAAGATATGTTAAGAGGGAGCAATGAATAGAATCATAATGTTGATTATTATTATTGTAAGGTTAGAGAATTATTATCAATGTAACGAATGCTGTAAATTTTGACTGTAATAGCACAGAGACATTTGTACCCAGTCAGCACACTGTTTAATGGAAGATAGTAAAAAAAACCCTTATAAACAAACAAACAAATAAATAAATAAAACAAGCTCAGAGAGCAGCCTCTCATGTCAACTGTGAGCTACAAATATTCTCTTTATTCATACAATCTAAGCTCTTTAGGTTTTTTTTTTTTACATGCACCACAACACATGAACTGGGACAACTTCAAAGTTCCCAGTTGATTACCTTACCGGTCCATCCTGATAGACACTGGCATTGATGCTCTTTCCCGGAGATCCGTTGGCATGTCCCTCCATGTTGGCAGGGTGATAGGAAGCAGGGATCACCAACGACCCCCTGGCATTTCTCCCCAGTGAAACCAGGAGGGCACACACAGACGTACTCGGGGGCGGCTGAAGAAGGAGGAAGTGCTCTGGACAAGCAACTGCCCCCGTTCTGGCAAAGCACAGGGGTGCAAGGGTCTGGAAACTGGCACGTGTCTCCTACGTAGCCAGGAGAGCACCTGTGGATGGGGAAAGAAACAGAAAATATTTTTTGAAGATCTGAACTTAAATCTGGAGCTACGAGTTAGGGAAACAATAGATAGTATACGCAAATTCTCAATTTACGGTAATCTTGATTCTACTCTTCTGTTAACGCAGCCTAGAACTGTGTTGGCTTTTTTAGCAGGTGCAGCACACCGCTGGCTCATATTTAAGTGATTGTCCACTAGGACTACGTGAATTCAGATCCCAGTCTGTGGAATCGGGCACAATGGCTGTTTCTCACACCCCTCTTAGCTTTACCTTATGGATTACTAATGGAAACAACTAAGTTCTTATAGGTCACTAAACCAAACTCACATTTTGGCTTCTTACAAGCACATTTTCCATGCAATAAATAATGCGACCAACTCTATATAGGTAGTCCTCGACATGACCATAACTGGGATTAGAACTTCTGTTGCTAAGCAAGTTTATTGTTAAGCACCCAAATGTTTAGTTTAGTGTAGTTTAGTTTATTGTCATTGCATCTTGTACAACGAAATTAAATACCATCTTCAGTGTACATTATGACTATAGAAATAAACCTAAACACACATCATTCACATTCTGTACATTGAATTGAAATCCCTGGATATCGCATTAGTATTGCACTATACAGTAGAATTCAGTAGAGTTACTGGGATAGAAGCTGATTTTCAGCCTATTTGTCCTTGTTTTTATTATCCTGTACCATCTGCCAGATGGCAGTAGTTCAAAAAAAAAAAAAGAGGGTGCCCAGGATGAGATGGATCTTTGAGAAT